TGAATTCAGCTTTCCAGGAGATTGACTTATAAGTATGGTAAATCGATGAGGAGATTCCTCAGAAATTGATAGTTTGGCTATAAAATTAATTTATCCACTAATTTAGGAGAGCACTTAATTTAACGAACGCACTATATACAAACCCCATGTGTAATATATTTTTGAATTCAGCATTCCATGGAAATTCCAAAATATTGGATAATATATAGGGTGTTCCTTCCGAAATACTTGTCGCTAACATCATAACCCAAACATGGATCATCCCGTATATATATTTTTTATATACATATAAATATGGCGAATCGAAAATAAAAATCGACCTGTTCCAGTAGATTCCTCGAAAATGCATACTTTGGCTCAAAATGAATGTATTCAGTACTTTACGTATGGAAAGCTAACGATTTCATTATTTTCACGTTATACAGGGTATGTCGTCAAGAGCTTATACTATCATTTTATCGAGAATCAGTCGCAAGAAATTTCGTTTAACAAATTTGCGACAATGAAGTGTTGATGCATCTACTAGAAAGTAGCATCAACTTTGTTATTTCAAATGGAATACCCTGTATATCATTCATTTTTAGATTCTCCTTGAAAAGCTGATTTCATCGATGTATCATACTTGGGGTCTAGCGGGAATTATTACAGAGATATAGGGTGTATTCGAAATCGAGATTTTACAACTTCAGGATTCTTTAGTGTGGAAACGTAGCATTTTATTAACTTTTGATTCACTGTATACTGACATTTAACAACAGATACAGGGTGATCAGAATTCTGATTCTTGAACCGTACCATGACATATAAGTACGCACATTTTCGAAAAATTCTTACGAGTGATTCTCGATACAAAGATAGTGTAAGCTCACAGTGACATACCCTGTATATGAATTACCCACAGAAAAATGTCCAAAAAGTAAATAGTAACTTCATATTACAATGAAAGCAATAAAAAAATAAGGTACTTACCACTATGAAAACTGCACAACACTAGATTTCCATCAAATAATCTACATCTGCCTTTTCGATGTTTGAAAAATTCCACTCGGAACAACACACGAACACGGAACACGACATAATCACTAAACTTGATAGGTATTTTAAACATCACAACACTCACTTTCTTTTTAATCAACTACTGGTGTAAAATGAGCATCACCTATTCTATTCAAATCGATAAAAGTAATGATTTTTTAAATTTATTATTACTTGAACACAGTACGAATGTCACTTTTGTATTTGAAGCCCTCGTTTCAACCGTACACTACGCTCTCTAAAATAATACTGACTGCTTTGATAAGTTTGATTCACCACCTCGTTTCGAATGACTAATTTGTTACGTCACACTCATTCCTATTCATTCCCGAACCCGAACAAGTTTATCTATGACTAATGTTCTTATCGAAGGTATACGGGGGTGAAAACAAACTATAAAATTATAATAAACAATACAGTGCGAGTCTGTATTGAAATACATTTTTTGAATCCCCATGGAAAGGTGTTCAACGAAATTTTCCATTACTTTAGGAGTGCACTAATTTATTTCACTTTATTCTTTGGGATTTTCTCACCTCGTTTCTATAAAATAAGAATAATCGTATTATTTCAATATATTTGTAGTGGGACAAATCAGATGATTTGCCCCAAAATGTCACTGCGTTTAACAAATTTTTCTATCAGGGAGTCTAAAAGAAAAATCCAGTAGCTTGTCAGTGACAATTTGTTTGAAAAAATGAAAGAAATATAGATATATTGAAAAAATATCGAATTTTTACTTATCTTTGGACGTTTCGGGACCGAATCTGCTCCCGTTCTCAACATATAAATGCAAAATATTTTTCTTCGAAAGTTTTGCTGCTTATAGTTTGACACTTTTCAGTGTCATACTGATGTTGACATATGAATGAGTGATTTTAAGTCTACAAATGAGTTACAGCATTTTTTCATTAATTGATCTTGAATCTACCATTTTCGTGTTTATTTTTCAGTAGTGAATACCATGTTCTATCTATATCAACTGAACAGGAAGCAATGCTATTGTCTCCGTTTAGAAGAATGCAAGCGAATTCCTTGATTTTTATTTTTTGGTTGTTATCTTCCTTTCCTATGATTTTGATATTATTCCACTCTGCCATATGTTGTCCATCTTCAGTAAGGATATGTTCAGTTAGCACTTATTTAATTCGGCGCACTGTATAAAAACCCTATGTGTAATATATTTTTGAATTCAGCTTTCCAGGAGATTGACTTATAAGTATGGTAAATCGATGAGGAGATTCCTCAGAAATTTATAGTTTGGCTATAAAATGAATGTATCCACTACTCTAGGAGAGCACTTAATTTAACGAACGCACTGTATACAAACCCCATGTGTAATATATTTTTGAATTCAGCATTCCATGGAAATTCCAAAATATTGGATAATATATAGGGTGTTCCTTCCGAAATACCATCATAACCCAAACATGGATCATCCCGTATATATATTTTTTATATGAATATAAATATGGCGAATCGAAAATAAAAATCGACCTGTTCCAGTAGATTCCTCGAAAATGCATGCTTTGGCTCAAAATGAATGTATTCAGTACTTTATGTATGAAAACCTAACGATTTCATTATTTTCACGTTATACAGGGTATGTCGTCAAGAGCTTATACTATCTTTTTATCGAGAATCAGTCGCAAGAAATTTCGTTCAACAAATTTTCGACAGTGAAGTGTTGCTGCATCTACTAGAAAGTAGCATCAACTTTGTTATTTCAAATGGAATAACCTGTATATCATTCATTTTTAGATTCTCCTTGAAAAGCTGATTTCATCGATGTATCACACTTGGGTCTAGCGGGAATTATTACAGAGATATAAGGTGTATTCGAAATCGAGATTTTACAACTTCATGATTCTTTTGTGTGAAAACTAAGCATTATCTTAACTTTTGATTCACCATATACTGACATTTAACAACAGATACAGGGTGATCAGAATTCTGATTCTTGAACCGTACCATGAAATATAAGCATTCACATTTTCGAAAGATTCTTACGACTGATTCTCGATATAAAGATAGTGTAAGCTCACAGTGACATACCCTGTATATGAATTACCCACAGAAAAATGTCCAAAAAGTAAATAGTAACTTCATATTACAATGAAAGCAATAAAAAAATAAGGTACTTACCACTATGAAAACTGCACAACACTAGATTTCCATCAAATAATCTACATCTGCCTTTTCGATGTTTGAAAATTTCCACACGGAATAACACATGAACACGGAACACGACATAATCACTAAACTTGATGTTTATTTCAAACACCACAACACTTTCACTGTCTTTTTAATCAACTGCCCGTGTGAAATAATCATCACCTGTACTATTAAAAACGATAAGTAATGATTTATCACTTGAACATAGTACGATTGTCACTATTGTGTTGCGACCGTACATACACGACGCTCTCTAAAATAATACTGACTGCTTTGATTCGCCACCTCGACCCGAATGACTAATTAGTTGCATCACACTTTCAACCGTTTAATTCCCGAGCAAGTTTTTTATCTATTACTAATAATTTTATCGAGGGTATACGGGGGTGAGAATAAATTATAAAATTATAATGAACAATACAATGCGAGTCTGTATTGGAATGAATTCAAAATAAGTAGTTTTCTCGAAAAAAATGCTAGAACAGGTCATTTATTTCTATGTTTCGTTTCTCAATGGGAAAAAAATTAACAAGAGCTCTGTTGTATGTGAGTTATGCCATCATCGGTTGATGTTTCAAACTGCAATCCTAGTTTCGTTTCTGAATATCTTTTTCATTCAAAATCTTGTAAATTGGAATTTTATAGTCGTGTATAACCCGATATGCAATTTTATATACTCAATAAAATACTTGCTTTTCCATTTGACGAAATGGTCGATGACGTCATAACACCTCGTGTAAATATTTTCTTCTACCAAAAAATTTAAATTGTAATACTATTGATTCTCAAGAACTCAACTGTTTTTGATTCACTGTGTATTCCAAGTTACTAAATAACAAACTGACACTGTATATGGCACTGTATACAGAGAGTCCCTGATCGGTCTGTACACTTTGATACATACCATTGACCAAAATGAGATGATTGAACCAAACTTACCATTTTTCTGTTTTATTTTTATGCAAGACCCTGTCTTTTGAATTCGCGGAGGAATGTGTATTGCCACATATTGAATATCATTGATATGATTGATGATTCCATACGAAAATTAAGTGCGAACTGACAATAATTAAATGATTCTGAAGAGTATCAGGTATGCATCAAATTGAATTTGGTCAATTAACTTGCTAACAAATAGAAATATCACAAACTTTCAAGTGTGCTGAAAGTTAGATATTGAATGAGGGAATAGAAAATAACATTGAGATCTGTTCAGTGGCGTACTCAGATAGAGTTCTATCAATTTTTCAATCAACAGTACTCCAAATATGAAACATTCTGTGTTATTCAAAATGGCATGGAATGTTTTTTATGCATAATTAGCCTTTTAGTGTGCCTACAAAATTTTAGAATGATACGGAAAAATAAAGAAATACAATTCATTTCCGTCGCCCTGTAGCGGTTGAATGGAGGGAGCGTTTTGGTATTAGGGTAAGTTTGGTTCAATCAACTCACTTTCTCACTTTGGTCTCAGGACTCTATGGTATCATTTTGTACAGACCTTTCAGGGACACCCTGTATAACAATACATGGTAATTCACGACAAGTTGTCATTCTTCGTATGTGGAGATCCGAATATAAGGATAAACTGTTTAACACTTGAAACGTAAAATCGAACAAATGTCTTTCAAATTTGTATCATATCGCTACAACCTATTTCCAGTTGACTTTCAGGTAAATACACCCATCACCCTTTCCCCATATCGACGCCCTTGCTCAGATAACTGTCGTATATCAGAAATAGAACTGAGCCCAAGCATGTTCTATTCAAGTCAAATTCTTTTCCTCAGAAAATGCCTGTGAAGGTCCTCCGAAAGCCAAAGAAAAGACCAAAGATCCCAGGAAATCGCTTTCACATCGGCGATTCGCCAGAAGCAGCGAGTTCGCTCAAGCCAAGCTCTTCAACAATTTCATCGACAAAACCACCATCTCTCAGGCGCCTATCAGGCAGATCAGGCTGCCCAGGAAGCAGGAAATAAAGCCGGTGGACACCAGGCGCGACGAGGAGATCATCGTGAAAGAGGTTATGGTGTCTTCGAAAGGGTTCATAGAAAATGTGCATGATAGGTTGAACAGTAAGGATAAGTTGGAGGTGAGTGTCAATTTTATAAATTACTAGCTTTGAAGCCCTTAAATAAATATCAAAGATCATTACATTCCAGTAGAAGTTCTAGAAGTTCTAGAAGTGTTCTATCTTCTGTTCTAGTAGAACTGATTCAATGTGATTCAGTATCTAAAAATTACTACATACTTTGAAGTTTCAGACAGTGTAATAGTTATTTATGTACCAAGGACAAAACACTGTCTTTTATAGTCGAGTCTGCAATCAGGCGGGACAATAGACAGTTTTTCGCCGAGGTGCAAATTACATTTTTTCGTCGACCTCAAACACCTATATTCACCTTACGTAATATCACGTAATATCTATCGGATATCGTGAATTATTAATTCGACAACAGCGATGACACTTGTTCTCAGTTAGATAAGGCGATTGATGGATTAAGAAATGGTATCTGAAATCAAAGGATGCATGAATTCACCATATTGTTTGTTCAATAAATATGTTTATTTCAATTTCTTGACTTATGAAATTGGTAAAATATGTATTTGTTTTAAGCGTAGGAGAAAATCCAATTTTAAATTTGAATTCATTTGACCTTGAATGATTTAAAAAATTACCTGCGACGCTTTTCCACTTATCAATAATTTAAATACTAAATGTTGTATTTTTTTCCAAAATCTGGTCACCCTACAGTATTACTTCCCCCTAGAAATCCACCTTAGGACCGCCCTTGAGTTTCCTAGAACAAAAGGTAAAATGTATTTCACTACAACAAAAATTAGGAATTTTTTGCGCCCTGTCTGTAGATGGGCCAGTTCAGGTAGTATTGAATTCGTGCATGTTGGTTGCGCAGAAGACTAAAACGTCAATGTCATTCGTGGTCAAGTCACTGAATAGCAAAGAATCTGTATCTCCCATGCAATAATGAATTTGCGCCTTCGAAGTGCCCACTCAATGTTAGGTTAGATATTTGCCATTTCCATTTAATCATACCAGTCCCGAAAGACGTATCCGCCGTAAAAAATATATTTTTCTCAAAAAAAGTATCCTATGTCCTTCCTAATACATGTAAGAATATGTATACAAAGTTTCATGATGATCGGTTGAGTAGCTTCGGCGTGAAAGCATAACAAACAAACTTACATGCACATTTATAATATTAGTAGGGCAGTAGGATGTTTTCCAACCATTGTCGTTCTAAATGATTACCCACTTAGTTCGTTGACTCAAAATTTGTCTACCTATCAATAGCGCTAGTTTATTTCAAATTTTAAATAATCGAATATTCCTTTCTCCCTCTTGACAGATCACCAGCATCGTGGAGCTCACCGACTCCGACGAAGACCCAAGCTCCACCAAAAACGGCACGGTGATCACCCACGAGACGAATTGCCCTTTTTTGGGCAGAATCCAACATTGCCCATCCTCAATGATCAACCCTGTATATTTTAACTAAACGAATATTCCTTTCTACCTCTTGACAGATCACCAGCATCGTGGAGCTCACCGACTCCGACGAAGACCCGAGCTCCACCAAAAACGGCAGGAAGAAAAAGAAGAAGAACCTGCGCACGTCCAAACAACGCTCTACGCCCCACCCAGCCGACTCCACCGTCATCGAGATCCTGCAGTCCGACGACGAATCCGTCCACCAATCAGAACCGTCCGTCGACCGATCGGAATCGTCCGTCGGCCAATCGCGGCCGGCCGAGACGACGGCGAAGAGAGGTCGCGGCAGGCCGAAGAAGGGGGAGGCGGCGGGAGTGGGGACGGTAGGGGTGGACGGTGCGAAGCGGCCGAGAGGCAGACCGCCGAAGACGCCGAAGAAGAAGAGTCGGACGGAGTCGAGCGAGCCGGAGAGCGATCAAGGTGAGCGTGAGTCGAGGTTTATATTGATAGATTGCTTTTATTACCCTAAGAAACATTTCTGTTTATAATAGGGATACATGAATTCATAAAAAAATATAATGAAGGGTTAATTATTTTATTGAATTCCACTCAGTGGAACCTCGAGTCACTGGATGCAATGTTTATAGAGGGAAACAAAAAAAATAGATCAAATATGCAATACAATGAAAGATAAACAGTTCAATCAGAATTAAGTGATACAAGGAGAGAGTTAAATTGATAAAATATATTTCATCAGTTCGCACTTAAATTTTGTGACGAACTTAATAGATTTTATTCTGTTGGGTAGACTATTATAAATATTTATTCCACAAAAATACAATGATTTTTTCTCGAATTGGGTTTTTATTTTGACAGTTTTCAAATGTTCACTTTGTCTGGTGTGATGCTCATGGGTATCAGAATTGATATTGAAAGTAAGATTCGAGTGCTTTTTTTATTTTTAGTGAAATGAATGAAAATGCATACTTTCATTATTAATAGAGAGTCAATATCTAGCAAATCCCTTGGTTTGTATAGTCTAGATGTTGATTTCAGGAATGGTAGTTTATAAATACATTTTATGGCTTTATTTTGAAGAGATTTGAGGGTTTCAAAACAGATTTTGCTGCAGTACCCCACATATCAGATACTGCAATTTAGAGTAAATCAAAGAGTTTGGACACAGCTGAACTTCTGTCATTTTCTATTTTGTATAACAATGGTTTTATGAGCTGTGTAACTTGGAAAATCTAAACATTCAAAAACACTAACAGTTGTCATTTCTGTGTCCGAACTCTTATCTGACTAATACAATCCAGTGACTCTAGTGGAAACAAATTAATATTGTTTCTTAAGATGAAAGTTATAACATTTCATTTCTGAGTAATCAAATCATGCCACATATTTTTCATTCAAATTGTCCTGTAATGGGGGTAATTACTCACCTCCTAGACGATCAAAGAAAATTCAATGTTTCAATCAAAATCAACATTAAGATTCACAAAATGAACTCATTTCATTCAACACTTTACTAGTATCTAATCTATCTCTTCCTAAAAACTGAAAAATGCCAAAACTGCAGCATGCATGTTCATTTTTCATTTCGACAATAACTTTATGTACATAAACTACCGTTAGCCCCTATGATTTTGTCATTATATGACAGCAAAAAAAGTTTTCCCTAACTTTTCCAGCGACAAAACCGTAACTTAACATTTGAAAGAATGACAACCAATATTTTAAACAAATGTTTGATGGTGTTTATGACATTTTTCCACAAACTTGCTTTGTCAGAAGAGTATCTGTGGAAACGTCCAATTTGGAGAGTCTTCGAGTGGAGTACATAAATGAAAAAAACCCTCAACAACAACAATCGAGTCTAAATGAACTTTATAATTCGATTTTTGTTGCCATTAGGAACATTTTATCTTAAATTTCCAGCTGAATTTGAAAAAAAATGTTTCCACCTTCATAAATCCCCGCTGACAAACCTAACTATCAAAGGCAATCGACTTTGAACCACAACAACAAAAATTCGCCTGTGTCGCTTTTTCTCTATATGTCAACCCTGCCCCACGAATAACCCCCCCCCCCCCTGCCCCCCCCCCTATGGAACAAAGCTGGTGTACCTAGACTGAGATCTGTTGTTATTTCTCGATTCTCGTCTCTAAGGGATCACATTTCATTCCAAAACAAAATGAAGCTAAGTTTAATCATTCACTTCTGCCACAGGGCGTTAAGAGAATTTATGAGTGAAAGAATTACTTTTTTTTTCTGTCTAATGATTGAGCCATCAGCTTTTCATGAAAACTAAAATTGAGGCTAACATAAATCTACGATTTGGTCGAAATTCCACCAAACTCAGACAATAAATGATGACATTACAGGGCGATCTATTTGGAACAAATTTTTGCTGGCAATTTTATTTGCTGGTGAGAACTAACAACGTATTTTCACATCATATAAATTTTCGATTCCTCAGGTAAAACTGAGATCAAGTGCCCCCACTGCGCCAAGTCCTTCCCAAGCAACAACAGCCTCAGCACCCATATCCAGCACCACAATTTAGAGAACAGCCTGAAAAACGCCAAGACACAACAGATCGAATACAAATACAAGTGCGACACTTGTCACAGCACCTTCAAAAACAACATATTGCTCAAGCGCCATACATGCCAAAACACTTCCAAACCCAAGTGTGGCGTTTGTTCGAAAACAATCAACAACGCAGCATCCCTAGAAATCCACATCCGCAGTCACGTGAAGGAAAATATGATGAAGAACACGACCACCGTGACCATATCCCCGAAGAAATTACGACCTTCTACCGTCCCCAAATTCAAATCGCCAATGAGGCCAGCTACCTTCAAGTGCAAGCACTGCTCGAAAGTCTGCTCCAGCCAAACCATCCTGGCCGCCCACGAAAGGACGCACAAAACTTATTCTTGTGCCACCTGCAAAGCAGCTTTTTCTTCGAAGCTGCTGCTCGACACCCATTTGAGGATCAGCTGCGTGAAAACCGCCTCGCCCAAAGACAAAAGGCTTTCCTTCAAGATACGAAAGTCGTACGTTAGTTCGCCGAGAAGAGGCAGGATTTCCGTGGTTCCGACCAGGACCTCGACGGTACCGACCAGGACCTCGACGGTACCGACCAGGACCTCGACAGTACCGAGTAGGATGTCGGTGTTACCGAGGAAGGCGCCTAGTAAGGTTCCGAGTAAGACGCCGGTGATGTCTGGTAATTATTCGGCTGTTCCGGGTAGTTCTTCGGCGGTGCCGTCTGGCCGTTCTAGGACGTCTGTGGTGCCGACTAGGGCTTCAGGGATGTACGGCAAGCCGCTGGATTTGAAGTTGCAGTGCGCGTTGTGTTTGATGAAGTTCAGCACGATGACGGCATTGTTCAAGCACGAAGTCAAGGTTAGTTCAATGATTTTTGCATATAACTGGTGACATTATATGGATAATGTGAGGACGTTCATCTTAACTATAATGTTCATTCATGGTGCTTTTCCTTCATTGAGATAAATAATCAATGCATCCTGTTTTACACTATTCTTACTTGTTTCATACCATTTGGCGCCCAACAGGAGAAGAACGGTTGTGTTTTAGATAGAATATGAAATTTATGAGTTTTGAAAGAGATTGGATAAAATTTATACTTTGCCATCTACTGATTAGTCCCTGTGGCTATTTTTATGACTTGATGGATTTAGAATTTTTGGATTTTTTAGATTTTTTTTGTTTGTTGTTGTTGTCACCTCATATTATATTATTATTTTTGTTTTTAATCAACTTCCTCATACCAGAATTGTATTTCTGACTGGAAGCTAGTTTTTCAATAAACAATAAACAATTGTCACAAATTCAACTTAGTATGAATAGTTTCAATTCCATCGAAGGAGATCAATAATTTAACTATTTTCATACTATTTGGCGCCCAACGTGAGGGTTAGATAGAGAATAAAATTATTTGTTTTTGAAAAGTAGGAATATTCTGTTTATTCATCAAGGATGATCATTATTAACAAGTGAAATCGAGTGACAAAATATACTGGATGTCCCATAGTTTCTGCAAGTGGCAATATACAAGGTGTTTCCAAAAGTGCTTTCTTATTTTTAATTTGGCTAGACTCAGCTGTCAACTTGAATAATTTGAATGAAACATCCTGTATATAATTTTTTTTTAATTCGAAGGTTTTTGGTTTCTGTGCCACTTAAGTTAGGCTTCCATGAAATATAAATGTCCCCAACATAGTAATCGAGAACTATTGCTTTTTGAGTAATTAAAAATAAATACTTTACTATAGTTTTTGTTTATCAAAAGTTGTTTGCTTCTGTAGAAATATCACTTTTAGAATTCTGAGTGTGTCAAGACATCTGGGGATTGCAAACTTTGACGTTCGAAATTGTTTTGGAAATTCTTGTGACTTTCCGAGGACGTAGAAAAAGTACACGTACATTCTAGACATACGTATTCCAAGCGCTCGCAGTTATTTGTATTATGGCGCCCAACGAGTGGCATGTTCAACGACTCAAGTCTCATATACTTCATTTTAGACCCCTATTATTTATTTTCGTTGAGGAAGTCTTTGGAGACCTGCCTGGCTTCTTTTTTTCAGGACACTCTTCTCAACAAACAGGGTGTCTCCGTAAATTTTGACCCCTACCTAGTACATATAGCTTCAACTACATGAGTCTTCAAATATGAAAGTTGTAGTGTTTCATCTGTACTATATTCCTCTAATAAACAAATGCGAATTGCAAGATAGAAAAAAAGAGTATGTTGAGAAGAGTGTCCTGAAAAATAGAGCCAGTCAGGTCCCCAAAGACTTCCTCAACGTAAATATTCAAAACGCTCGCTATTATTTGTATTGTGGCGCCCAACATGGGGTAAGTGTAACGATTCAAGACCCTTATAATTCATTTCAGACCTCTATAATTTATTTTCGTTGGTATATTTGCAGGACCACAATGTCAGTACGCCCGACAAAAAAGTCTTGTTGCCCGACAAGAAACAGCTCCACAAGCCGCTACACGAACACGGGGGCATTCCGATGCCCTGTCGACTGAACAAGTTCTTCCAGGGGTTCCGCAAAAAACTGGAATCCGACTCGACGGTCCCCGTTTCTGACTTCGAAAAAAACGATGAGAAGTAGGCAGGTAAAAATGCAAGAATTCATATATCCATGACTTTCAGTACGAATGCATTCTAGACCAATGAGATCGATTCCAACTATTCGTGTTTTTCAGACAAAAACACGTAAGTACCAAAAAAAAATTTCGAAAAAAAAACCATCGCATGATACATGCAGTTTTACCCCATATTCCTTCAGCAAAAATAATATGATCGACTTGCCCTGTGTATCCAAAATCATGGACTTTTACCATAGATCATATTATTTTGCTCAAACAGTAGGTCTCCATGGTTAACGGATTAGCCGTTTGTTTACGTGTTTCTGATAGCAAATTCAATTGGCAGGAACTGATGGAGTGTTTCTGCACTCAATGTATATATTTCCTTCTTAGTCGCATGTGTTAAATAGAGGTAGATATACTATCAGTGGAGAAGAGATACAGAGATTAGAATGACATCCATGGATAGAATCGTACTAATTGGTCTAAAAATGTGTCCATTCCGAAAGTGATGATTACTTGAATTCTTCCGGTAAAAATTGGGTCGTGTAGGGAATTTGGGTGTGCGATTTGAGTTTTTTGATGGCTCCACGCATACACCATTCAACACACTGAAAACGTTTCCCGAATTGGGATATATCCAGTGGCGGCTCGTGACTTCCATGACAGAGGAGGCTGAATGATATGAGATTTATTGTGAAAAACAACTCTCTACGACTCATCCAAATCAATAGCTTTAATGACATTCTGTTTACCAGTTAATCTGAACCTAAAATACTTGAAGAGATGTGTTCCTGTGATTTGCAGTGTCTATCCAATCCGTGAGGCAAATTTTTCAAATCATTATATTCTAACTTTCGGTTGAAAATAATACGCAGTACGAACAAAATAGCTAATTCCTTACCTCAGATCCCGTCAACCAGATATATTTTTTATAATTATCAGAATTGAACGAACGATTTTGTTTGTTACCTGTTACAATCAGATTTTTTAATTCCGGTGTCGGACGTTTGTTTTTCACAATCAATTCATCTTCATAAGACAAAGCACTGAAAAAGTATTCCACTAAATCGCAATCGTTTAAAACACTCATTTTTCAGAAATTTATGGAGCTACCTAACATAAACATAAACAATGCACTCGCGATTGTCCGCAATTCGCGACGAGACACGACCACGACAAACGCGTGTTATTCGGGCATTTGCATTGCGCGCGTGAGTTGCGCTTTGTGAAGGAGTCTACCCTCCTATAGATGTTGCCAAGTTGAATATTTTACGCGTGATTCGCAGATTTCAACGTGTGATGCGTGGGCAAGCACTGTTGCCAATTCAAAATATTCACCTAAAGACAGGTAATAAAATCAAAATCCATGTATTTTGGTGTCCTTTTAATGAGAAAGTATAGATAATATCAGTTTAAGGAGAATCTCTGAGGAGGCTCAGCCTTTGTTGCCTCCTCTGAGGAGCCGCCACTGGATATATCAATATTAGATGATGAATTTTACAGAGTGAAGCAAGATTCATTCAACGCCATTTTGAGACACTGAGAGATGATAATTATTTCAATTTGAACAACAGCTTTATGACTTACACTAATATATCTCAGAGATATCAAAGTAACTTTTCACATATTGATTAAAGACGATATCTTAATAGGTGAAATCCGAAAAACAGAACTGTGTATTCTGTATAAATGGTACTTGAGTATAAAATAGATCATTCGGAAAAGTTCATTTTTTGTGGAAACAGCTTCCTATCATTTGGAAATGTTTATTGATTCAGTGTTCAACAGAAACATTCAAAAAATTGAACTCCCTCACTTTTTTCCCTACATACCTGTTCAACTTAACAGAGTGAATTGTAGGAAGAACAAAACCAAATAATAAGAAATAGATATTTTGTATATTATATGAATGGACGAGGTCAATTTTTGAACATGAAACTGAACGTACTAGCTGGTAGCAAGATATTTTCTAACCAAACTATCCAAGCTACTTTGTACTTGTATTCAATTGTATGTTTTAATTGTTTTTAATATTTTTTAACTTGAAAATAACTAGTGGAATCATTTTCAATTATTCGATTTATTGAAAAATCAATCAATACCCATATCAGGCATCATTTGTTCAGAACATGCATGAAAGATAATGGCCCATCAGTAAAATGTTTTCAAGATTTACATAATGAACATACCTGTGAACATATATTTATTCTTTGTATTGGGAAGATTGATTTTTTCATGAACTGGTCATACTTGACTACATGTTTTTAAAGTTATTTTGCTTGCCTTGAAAATGTGGAACATTTTTCTTATTTATTCATGACTGTCTCCTGTTTCGCCTTGTTTTTTAAATCATGTTAACGAGAAGAGTCAAGTTTTGAAACCATAAGGACGACTGCATGTATATAAAATAATTTTTCTGCCGTGCAGATGATATATAATTTACCATTATCACACTGTATATGTCGTTATAGAATATTCTAGGTAACTTATGGCAATAGATTTTTTTAAAGATTTTGTAAAGAACTATTGAATTTAAATAAATTTTTAACTATCTACATTTTCCGATTTCTTTTCCATCCTCTATAGGTCTACTGTTCAAAACAAAATCACTAGAGATTGATCATGTGGAAAAGAAAGAATAATAAAGTGCAAAAATATTTTCTTTGTCCACCTCTACAAAAAAACACAGTTATTTATTATACAAGGGAAAAAAGTAGTAGAGTTTAGCTCCAGGTTGTGTTGTCTCCCGACGCGTAGCGGAGGGAGACAAAAAACCGTGAGCTAAAATCTAATATTTTTCCCATGTATAATACACAATTTTTTTCTGTGCCAGAAGGAAGGACGAATCAATATTGAGAAGATATTACATTATTTTGAAATCTGAAAATTATCGACGTGAAATTTTAAGGTTTTAACAGTAGGGACACCTGCGATGAAGGCATCTTTATCATTCATTCTTTTGAAGTAATCAAATATCTGATGTCACTTTTGTCAGTCTAATTCTGTGATTCGATTTCAAAAAATTGCAAATTTAGTGGTTGTTTTGTAATATACGTAACCGCGGGACGTAATTCAGAATAGTCAATTGTAATTCATAAAGTGTAATTTGTAATTCAGAAAGCATCACTTGTAATTCATAAATACTATGGAATCATAAGTGATACTTTCTGAATTACAAGTTATGCTTTCTTAATTACAATTGAAGGTTTTTGAATTACATTCCACTATTCTGAATTAAAAGTTACACTTTCTGAATTACATTTGACTAATCTGAATTACGTATTATGCTTCCTGAATTACAATTTACTAATCTGAGTTTCAAGTTATACTTTCTGAATTACAATTAACTATTCTGAATTACAACTTATACTTTCTGAATTACATCTTATACTTTCTGAATTACAATTGAAAAAGGTGTAGTACTGATACTGAGATGGACATTTTTATGCAGATTTCAATCATAGCATAGAGAGGAGCTGCAAGAATGAGAAGTGTTATTTCAGATGATTATTTTTGTGGTCAACGGATTTATATTGCTAGTATCCATGTACTTCAATCTGTACAAATCTTCAATTTATTATTGAAGCACTGCTAGAAACATCTTAATAAGTAGTAGAATAAAAATATAAATATCGTTTATTAAAGATTAGTTCAATATCACAACATTATTTTAATAGATGCTCAAAAATACAGACAACTTTAGTATCAACAACTTCAAATATATGTATAATCTCTGGTATTACTATTTAATATATTATTATTTTGATTAGTTTGCTAAAGAAAAAAATATTGTTAATTTTGATGATCCCAATCACAAATGTATCATCATGTTTTTTCAAGTGCTTAAGTATTCCAGATTCATTACTACAAAAATGTCCACCAATGCAGTCATTAATTTTCAGAGATGATAACATGAAAATTTATGTATCTCAAAAACTAACCATTGAAGGAGATTTTATAGGAACTTGCTGAATTACCCCTGAAAATTAGTAGTTGCTTGGTATATAATACTAGATCAAATTTAATGCAATTTATAACTATTTATAGATCCTTGACCTCTTCCCAAATTATCTACCTTTTTAGCTACACAAGTTTCATCAATAGGACTAGTCCTATTCCTACACAAATTCATATTACAAATTTGAATGGCATTATTGAATTCATAAAACATATTGGGGTTTCCCCCATTTGGACCCACTAAAATCTCACAGTTGAGGTTTCTGCTTCTAATATCATCCAAACAACAGTCCAAGAATTCAGAGTGTACTGTGAAATACTTTTTTATGTCATAGTGCTTGATTCTCAACTTTTTTGCTAAAATACCAGTAACATAGGTGTCATCTATCCAGAAGTACCTGGTAGTATTACTCAGATTTACTAAGTTTTTGCAAGTTTGAGGTGTGGTAACATAAAACCATCCAGACACAAATAGGGGATATGCTGACAGAGAGTACTCTTCCTCAGTGACAAACCATTTGTTAGCTGGTTCTCTGATAGGCACCATGTTCCTCAAAACATAACCAGCAATAAGTTTGTTATGATTAGAAACTCTCAATGAATTCAAAATTGAAGATATTTTTTCTATATTCACAACAATGTCATCATCCATTTTTATCACAAATTTAGCATTAAAGCAATTCCTTGCAGCCCATTTTAACCCCATAACATGTTTGAATGTTAAGTTTCTGTAAGCTTCTATAAAATTTCCTTGGATAATATCTTTGAACCTTAGGCTTTCATTTTCAATGGCCTTTTGAGTAGTGTATTTGTCAGTTGGTGCTTTTCCTAGCAGAAAAATTCTTCTCAAGTTCAGCTGCTTTAAATCTTCTTGGGAAAATGCTCTTCGCATAGCACTTCTTGTTTCAACATTTCCAAAATATGATGTTACAATGATTAGGGCTTGTATTATAGTATCATTTTTGCAAGTGTCTTCATTGTTGAGGAGGAAGTAGAAATCGGGTATATTAAAAAGTGTTTCAAGGTCCTGTGTTTTTGGGATATTATACTTATGAGATTCGGAGTCTCCATTTTCATTGTGGTCTATCATTTCAATGTAGACTTTTCTGTTATTAGGTCCAAGGAAATAAAAGATAAATAAAAGGATTACAAGGCTGGTCACTATAAATACTAATCTAAGTTTTGCAAACATATTTAATTTAGCCCATCTTTATCACCAGGCCTTTCCTTTATGAGGTCCCTTATTATTTATTATTTTTGTTATTTTTATTTTGCATAAACAAATTGTTTTGCTTTTCCAGATTTTGACGTTTCTTTGACATTTTGAATAATAGGCCGTGGTTACTTGGCCGACAGTCGGATGGATAGTTGAAATCTATTTTCTCGTGAGTTTTGCGCTAGTATTTGAACTATTTTAACTATATTCAATGTGATTCATTATATTATTAGCAAATACTCATTTCTGCTTATTGAAGCAATTTTTCTGAAACAATCAACATTCTTTTCTTTGAATAAAAGATGAATGGTGATTTCCGTTATTGAAATAAAAAAACGGTAACGGTCATCCAAGCATAGTCGCTGTTTGTTTTCGAGGTTAGGTTATGTGATATTTTCAAAAACGAGAAAAAACTTCAAAATCGTGATAAAACCCGGAAAATCCAAATACAATGGCTCAGAAAGATGAAAATAAGATCGAAATAGATCCAGAGTATATAAGGCACAACAGAGCATTAAGAAAAGCTGAAGAGAAAGAAAAAGAAGGTGGGCGTGGAAAAACCAATTAACTATTTGATTTTGAATTATTTTTTCCATCATTATTTTGGTTTCCAGAAAACAAGGTTACTTCCGAAAAGGTGTCTAAAATAGTATCTGAAATATTTGATGGAGAATTGGCCGCAAGACAGAAACAACTAGAAGAAATTGAAGATAAAGTAACCAAAGCCCAGAAATTACTTCACTTGGTGCGCTATGTATTGATAACTTCTTATTACAATAAAAAAAATCTAGAAGTCAAAACCACTGAAGAAAGTATTAGTAAGGGATTTGATAATCAAAATAGAATCCATCCTGCTTTGAAGAAGTTACTGGGTACTAATTCTGGCCTAGGTGTTTTTACTTCTGGAAAACGCAGAATTGCCTCCAAGAACTGTGATATTTCTGAACCTGCAACCTCTCAAGACACAAAAAAGTTGAAATTAGATAGAGCTGAATCCTCAGGAACACAATCTGTAGACAGCAATCAAAATTGTTTAAGAAACAGAAAGAGAAAACAACATAGATTAGTGATTGGTAATATATCCAAATGGATGCCTTCCTCAGAAGATGATAATACAACCCACAAATGGATGATGTATGTGAGAGGTGGGAAAGATCAGCCTGAAATTTCACATATCATTGAAAAGGTTGTTTTTTATTTACACCCTTCCTACAGGCCCCATGATGTTATAGAAGTTAGGTGAGTCTGAGTCCTGAATGTTTCCTGAATGTCTTTAAAATGATTGTTTTAGTGAATCTCCATTTCACTTGACAAGAAGAGGTTGGGGGGAGTTTCCCCTAAGAGTCCAAATTTTCTTCAAGTGTCCTTTAAACAAACCAATAAGTATTGTACATAATTTGAAATTAGATAAGACATATACTGGCAGACAAACATTAGGTAAGTATGTTACTTTTACAACTTTTTTACTCAACTAACTCAAAAAGTTGATTGTCTAGTAAAGTTCAGTGTTTACATTTTTGATGTTTTTTTCACTTTTTCACAATGTCACAAGTTTCATGATATTTTATTGTTTTTTTTTTCGATTTTTCTTCAAAGTTTTCAATTTCTCAGAAATCAAGTCAAAAATGGATGCATAGTGACTAGTTAATTTTCATAGCAAACTATTCTAATGCCCCCCTTTCCTTGGACATATTCTGAGTATTCTGAAATGAATTATTCCAAGGCAGAATTTGGCAAAAGGAAACTATATTGAACCTTGAAAGGGAGGCATGCTGCTCAGGGATCACTAATCTCCCCACTTTCAACATTCTAGGAATATGTCTCATGTCAGTATCTACAAATCTGGTTTGAACCATAATAAAATGAAAAGGAAAACCAATCCAATAACACTCACCAACCTAAATGAAAAACTCCTTTGATATGTAGCACTTCTTCTCAATAGATATTTTCATATTTAATTTCTTATTTGAATATAATATTAATTTATGAATATTTGCCATATTTTTTAGTGTGTCAGCAAGTTATTCAAATGTATTTTTTGATGTACGGCAGTATATTATTTTTACTTTACACTCTTACAACCCCCTTAAAACTACCAGAAAACAGAGCACAAACAAATAATTTGAAAAAATGCAAGGTTATTTCCTTAGCTCATAATCTAATGGAGATAGGTTCCTTATGCAGACAACCAATTTGGGACACTGTGAGTAGTCTTTCATAACCTAAAATTGGTTGTCTTGAATCCCTACAGATCCACTCACTGAACACATTTAATTTCATGATTTCAAAATGTGCATTGAGGTTTCCTGATGATAAGTCATTTCTTGACTCTAATTGGTTATTTATTTAATCGTTTATTTATTGAAAATATGACTTCCAGTCAGAAACAAGTTCTCAATTTATTTCTGAATAGTATTGGGAGTTCTACAGAATGATTTTACTTTCTTTCCTATGACGGCTGCCATTCTAAAACGAAACTTCACTTCTGAACATCTGATACCGAGTCTAATACACACCTGCAATTGTGAATTAGCACCTATATAGAGTGATTAGATGTTAACAGCCGAATCCAAGCATTTGCTTTCGGCAAGGTCAGGTGCACCGGAAGTTTCTATGGCTTTTAAAATATCGTTCCTCTTCCGGTTGACCGGGTTGACGGGATCTCAATGATGAGGCTGAATACCAGCTACCATATTTTGTACATTACTAGCAGACCTCGCAAACGTTGTTTTGCTATATACATTATCTCTTTAATATATGATTTCAGTTCAATATCCATCAAGACACTATTATTATTTTATTTTCTACTTTTTATCCGACTTCTAAAACCCCAGATGAAAATTTTGAATAGAATCGGAACGTAATTACTAAACTCGTGCAGAGGGCACCACAGGGCTGGACCAACCCCTTCCCCCGTCCCTCGTAGGAGAAGGAAAGCTTTTGGCCTTCTTCGTAGACGAGAACAGGGATCGGAAGAGTAATCTTCAGGAACCTGAACGAAAAGGGTCTTTCATATTGAAGTGGCCCTTAATAAGCACCATGAGTCGTATATGGTCAAATTGATAACGGCATGTAGGTAAGATACAATGGGCCACTAGGCCTAAGTGTCGTCGGAGACTTCGGTCAGACGAGCCTACAAACGAGGTGGAGTGTTTAGTGGGTATACCCTGGAGTCAGGCGACTCTCACACTATCATATGGGGGATTGGACCCATATGGTGTCCATAAAGGATTTCAACTACCTCGATGAAAAAAAAAAAGCTACCTCCCCACCAATTTTCAGCCAAATCGATCCAGTAGTTTCGGAGCCTATACAATACATACATACAATCATACAAAAAACAAACAATCGAATCATCCTTTTTATAATATAAGTATCGACTAGCTGCCCGGCCCGGCTTCGCACAGTTGGTGTACCCATTAAAAATAGACATTTGTGGCAGTCTGAACTGCCATCCTAAAAAAAAAACAGTTGAAAAAAGTGTTCTCTGCCTAATTTACAGTTGCACCTGTAAATTAGACAGAAGAAATTGTTTGTTCAAATATCTCCTATTCCTATTCTATATTCAACTGTAAATTAGGAGATGTGTGGTAAAAAAAAGTTCTCTTGTTCTAATTCACAGTTGCAACTGCATATTAGGCAAATGTACCTGTTTTCCTATTACCCGTTTCCCCGTAGGAATGATGTATTTTCCCACTGTACAACGTAACTATATTTATCAGGGATAATGTCGGCTTCTAATGGTAATAGTAGATTGTTTCATTACGATCAAAAGTGACACTTTGTTTGACAAGCGAATTTTGCATTTGCGAGGCGGAGCGTCCAGCGAAGCCGAGCGAAAGAAATATTTTATGGAAATCTTATCGTTTGTGAAGTTTTTACATTTGCCATGGATTTCCATCAAATAACGGCCGAGTCAATTAAAAAAGAAAATCAATTTCTCAAAAATCATATTCGCATATCGCACCAAAAATTAATACCATCCCAGATGACATAAAATAAAAAAATATATATCATTCAAATATCAACTGAAAAAATTTATTCTGAATAGACATAGAATTTTTTCCATTAATATAACTGAGAATATTTAATAAATAATTAATAACTGATCACATCAACGATTTCCCTTCTAACATTCGTATAATTTTTTATTATCTCACTTCTTATATTACACATATTATAGATCATTAAAAATTATATATACTTTCATATTTTAATCATTATTTATTATTATGTATTTATTATGGTTATTGTTAGTGTCATTCATAATCAAAACAAGTGCTTCTGCACTTATTATCGATTTTTTAACTCAATTTTCAGTGCATATACTTCCTCACGCCATTTTCATAGATCGGAATAAAGTTTATATTATTATTATTATTATTTTAATATAGATAAGTAGATAAAAGTGAGACCTCAGACTACTTTACATTAGAATATTTGGTGGACGATGACTTTGTGTTGACATGCATTATCAAATACTATAGGCACGAATCCAATATCAGGGACAAAAGCACTCACTTTTTTCCCGTGGGAAAAATGTAATTTTTGAAAATTGACATTTTTTAACCTGTCAGAAGAGATTAAATGTCAAACTTTTTTCCCGCCACAGAAAAAAATGAAGTATGCATTAAACTCACAGATGAAAAGAAACATCTTCAGTATTATCAATCGTGGAATTCTCTTGTCAAAGCACAAAGCACTTCTTATTTCCTAGGATTGGCGAAAATAAAACGAGACATGAATAAAATAATTAAGCTGACGCCATCACGTTGCCACCGCCTATGAACAAAATGGATGATTGGATGCTAGGTTGATTTCGATACCACGTCAAAGTCATGAACGACAGCTTGGGGATTCCTGCGTATTGAGCAGAAGCGTTTTCAGGCGAGCAACTGACCCTACATTTTCTGGTTGCTGCGATATGACTACTAGCAGCCCCTTTCTTCTTTTTGTCTTCAATTATCCACTTCATTTATCGCTTCAATTTCGGGAACACCATGTATATGTGCTAATGTATTGCTGCAACTGTAAATTATGAGAATTTTAATAGTCAGCGTTCAGCTTATTTGGTGATTTGTCATACAGAGTGTAAAGTGTCTCAGCATCAATCTACCATATGTTTAACCGCAACTTTTACTCCCATTCTCATTTCTATTTGTAGTGATATAATATGTGGTAGATATCTTGTTGTTCATTTGAATGAAATATTAATTTAGGTAATGAAACGATTGTGGACGTATACCTTCATGACAACTCGCCACTCAAACCGCACACAATTTCAAGACCTCCAGAATCTCCATCGAATCCCCTACCAATCAGTGAACCAGAAGAAACTGAAAGAAACGATTACTACGTACCACCACCCGTCTTGCAGGCGACAAATAATATCCTGGAAAAAACTGCATTGTCTGATACGAAAATCGAAGCAGATTTATTGATCTTCAACTATGACCAACCGGCTGAATCGCCAGACCTGAATTCCTTCTCGGACTCTGGAATAGCCAGGTCTGATTCCACCCCGACGAATTCAGATTTCGTCACAACCTTGTCCGATTCAGCTTTCGGCCACTCAGACACTGCTTCTGTGAGCTATGAGCACGACTATTGCCAGGACAATGACATTATTGAAGAGATATTCGTCGATAATGGAATTGAAGTGCAGGATGATGGGTTTTTGGATTATTTACACTTTGAGCATTCCTACAGCTTGCCAGGTGACTGGGAGAGCTCCAGTGATAAGCATTTTAAAGCTGATGGGATGAGTGGGGACTGTATTTTCAACCTCAAAGATCCTGTCTCCAATGAAACTATGGTGAGTTGTTTTATAGGCGATTCAAAATAAACGATACGCCCTCATGAGGATATTCAAGTAACCAATGGAAATCTAACTTTTATTGACAGGATAAAAATCGTGCAATCACATATCAGTCAATTTTACCAGATATTATATGCCATTTCTTATCTAAGGATTTACTAATTCGGCAAACTTCCTTTTTGTGTGAGAACCCGTGTCTACAGTACGAGTGAAAAATAGTTATAGGAATCCATAGACGCCGATACGGGGGTTACATATCAAACAGGGTGGTCCATTTTGTTGAGCTCAAATAAAAAATAGTCGAGAATTTTCCGAATAACTATTTTTCAAAACACTTTATCATACATACAATTTTTTGAAGTAGGAATCTGTTGATGAAATGTTTTGTTTTATTTGGACGAAAATGGCTTAACTCTGTATAGTATTTTTGTTTTGTAACTGGAAATATCCATTGTGTCAATATTTTCTATCAGTTGTATATTCTTAAACATATAGTAGAAGATCCGAACCTAAATCGACCTTCACCGAGCTGATAATAGAACGAAATATATTTTATCATGAATTTAGTATATTAGAAAACATATTAAAAATGGGTTGGCTAAAAAAATTCTGGGCAGACTATTTTTAATTATTTTTCGAAAAATTATTTTTAATTAAATGTTGCAACATCAGGATAATAAAAAAATTGTGTCCTGACTGAAAGTATAAAACGTATAGAATGTGCAGCCGTTGGGTTGTCTACTATTTACCTGGGCGAACTACTGGGTTGTCAGGTAAACACAGGTATATCGATGCCAGTTACTTTCACTGGATTGGATAATTAAAAAAAAATTATATCATCATAAGCGCTGTTTAATTGCGAACACGTTGATATAGGGTTGTCTGCGAAAATTCCGGTCCTATTAGGGGTTTGCGAATTTTAAAGATTTTGATTTCAACGCGCGTGGAAGTGTGTGACAGAGAGATCCGAGGTAAGTATACTGTGTAATAATAAAGGACCCAACATCGCAGTCGCTTGTGATGGGACCCTGAATAGTAGAAAGTGCGCATGCTCGGTGTGTAAACTATGGAGGGTAGAGGTACCTCTACTACCCTTTATTAATAATTACATAATAATTAAATATATTTGATATAATACTAATATATAAAAACAATATAATATCAATATATTGCGTTATAACCATAATGATATATCTATAATCTATAATAGACAATAAAAATATCAATTACTTACTTTGAAATTTTTTTGCTCTTTCTGGAAATAGAAACAAAGTGGACCTCCAAAAATTTAAATTAAGAAATAACAAAAAAGATAGACTAGACATCTTGTATTACGATTTAAAATTTTATTAAAAAACAGTATAAATACAAAAATAATATTAATGAAAAATAAATTCTAATAAATATTTTCTATTCAATATCTGATTCATCAGAAGTATCATTTTGACTCTCGAATTCGTCTGATTCATTAGATTCTTCCTCATTTGCTTCCATTTCGACAATGTCCTGGATTTTCAAAGGAGTTTGATCTCCGATAAAACCTGTTGGTTTTAAGAAATCATCAAAATGCCAACCATAGTTTTCAGGATTTGACTTCGCACACTTCGCACACTTTCTACTAGTCAGGGTCCCATCACAAGCGACTGCGATGTTGGGTCCTTTATTATTACACAGTATACTTACCTCGGATCTCTCTGTCACACACTTCCACGCGAGTTGAAATTAAAATCTTTAAAATTCGCAAACCCCTAATAGGACCGGAATTTTCGCAGACAACCCTATATCAACGTGTTCGCAATTAAACAGCGCTTATGATGATATAATTTTTTTTTAATTATCCAATCCAGTGAAAGTAACTGGCATCGATATACCTGTGTTTACCTGACAACCCAGTAGTTCGCCCAGGTAAATAGTAGACAACCCAACGGCTGCACATTCTATACGTTTTATACTTTCAGTCAGGACACAATTTTTTTATTATCCTGATGTTGCAACATTTAATTAAAAATAATTTTTCGAAAAATAATTAAAAATAGTCTGCCCAGGATTTTTTTAGCCAACCCATTTTTAATATGTTTTCTAATATACTAAATCCATGATAAAATATATTTCGTTCTATTATCAGCTCGGTGAAGGTCGATTTAGGTTCGGATCTTAGACTAATAGTCCTGATGTTAAATTTTTCTCTCTTTGCAGACCTCTAATGGCTCTAATGACAAAAATAACCACGAAAATAAACCTACAACGAACGGACACTCAGAACCAGAATCTCACTTGGAAACTGACACAAAATTACTAGTCAGAAATAGCAAATACAAGGTTATGTTACCAGAGAATAAGTTCAAATGTGTGGGAGAGGCGATGCCCTATTTGTTGAGAAGGCTTCCTTTGTGGCACGAATCGGCCCAACTTGAGGAATTCAAGATGATCTATCCTTTTATGGCAACATCTAGACAAGAATTTGACAGCTGGAATATTGGAAAACGTCTTAATTCAGAGGTTGCAAACAATTTCCTATCCTTTTTTTCCATTTCTCACTAGAGTTCTCACTTTTTCCACAATTATCGAGGGGGAAACAACTACCCAAAATGTGTATACCATATTTAAATATCTGGTAATTAAAGAGTACTTAAAATACCTAAAACTGGTACTTAAGGTACTGTTAACAAGTACTTAAATACTGAAGTACTCAAAACTAGAGTCACTGGATGGTATTAGTTTATAACATCCAGTGACTCTACTTAAAACGAGACTCAAAAGCTTATTAAATTGTACTTGATGTATTAAAAATGATACTTAAAGTACTTAAAATTCCATGGTGTACCCCTATTTAAGGAGTTGTTTTCCCCTCGACAATAAGTAACTAACAAATTTGAATAAGTTGTTGAATAGTATACAAGGTGATTCAGTTACTCATTAGTCGAATTGACGCCACATTTTTTGCATACTAGTCATATTCATGAAATGCATATAAAATGATTATCTATGGAAGGTAGAAAGTCCTTGGTCAATAACCCTTTGGATTATATTTTGGTTCAATAAAGTACTATTATTATTAAAAAAAAACTCCAAGCCGTTCAAAAGTTAACTAGGGAGAAAGTGTTATTATATGGACAAAATGTATAAATCATTATTCAAATCGATCTTATTGGAATGTTTTTTATTTGTAGTGGAATCGAGCGAGAGAATTAAAGAAACTGTTACACGAAACTTTTCCCACTTTGAAAAAGTGGAGCACGAAAGCTTGTCTGATGTATGCCAGGTCTCACGGGTACCACTTCTCTCTGAGGAATTTAGGAAACTTTTTCCGAAAAGATTCGGCAGAGTTGAGGCTTATCAATACGTGTTTTGTGGCAAATTCGCAGAAGGATGGGATTCGTGCTGAGAGACAAGATAAAGTTGATGTCAATGTCAACGTTGACATTATGTCAGAGGAAGGTAAAATTACAGTAACTGATATTCTATTGTTTGCTTACCTAACTTTTTACTGTGAATTCAAAAATATTAATGACATTGTTTTTGAAATTTCAGTATACAAATTGGAAATTGTGAGATTTTTCCATAAAAATATACTTTTTCAATGATAGTGGGCTCTAAAAAGACTTCGATTCTGTATCGATTAGGAGTTTAATCTGAAGAAAACTTTTTTTTATTTGAATTTACATATGAACATGGTAACTTAAGGTATATACCATTAATTATTTCTCAAAACTTTACTGTTTACTGTTTGATATACATATAAAATAGCTGACAACGATGTTTGTCCACCAGGAATGGTTATGCTGAATAGTACAGGTACAGTATTGTTTTTTTCCCAACTTTTCCAATATTTTTTTTGGCGGCTTTTTATAACGCCGACGAATGAAAATAAAATATCACAGTAGTAGCAACTGTTATCAAGTGACGTATGGTTTCCATAGCCAACTTTTCAATTTTTGGCTTTCATTTTGCTTCCACGGCCTACTCGGTGAATTTCAATAATACATTTTTTCTGATCTAGTTTTTGGTTAGATACCAACTTGTGATATGTCATTAGAAAGGGAATTGAATGCTGCATAAAGCGAAAAGAAAAAATAGGGTTTCCATTTAAAATAAGAAAGTTGATGTTACTTCCGGTCAGACCGGAAGTTAACTTCGACATGTCAATATGCTCAAATTCTAGCTCTTATGTCATTATATCGACGCTCCAAATTTCACAAACCTACTTCATACAATAACTGAGATATTCCGTAGGCAATACTTCCTTAGCCACCCGGTATAGTTTGATGCCTATGTTATCTGTTTTACCTTTATGTGATCGAACTCTGATCGTCAAATAAATGTTGTGGAGATGACCTTGGGTTTCTTCATCTATGAAATACACCACACCACTCCACTTTGAGTCACCATCACTCCCCCACTATCTTCCGAGCTGAAATACATGCCATCAACCTTTGCGCCCAAAGGTGCCTGAGCAAATGTCTGAGGGGTGCCAACATATATATCTGCTCAGACAGCCAAGCTGCACTGAAAGCCCTAAAATCATTCGTTTTCACACCAAAGATTACATGGAACTGCTTCGAAACACTCATGCAACTGGGAAAGGGCAACAAAGTCACACTTATGTGGGTTCCAGGGCATGAAGGAATCAAAGGAAATGAGGCAGCTGATCGCCTTGAAAAAAAGGTGCAGCATCTGCACTTTTTGGTCCTGAGCGTTTTTGTGGGATAAGCAAATGTCACCTAAAGGGAGAACTCGGGAAATGGGAAGAAATTGAAAAGTCCTCCTACTGGAGAGCAACTCCAGGTCAACGACAAGCGAAAAGGTTCATCAACCATTCGCAGAACCGAGCCAAAGAGCTACTCAGCCTCAGCAAACCAGAGCTAAAGCTTATCACAGGCTTTCTCACAGGACACGGGCCTCTGAGGTACCACCTCAAAAAGATAGGTCTGGCGGAGACTGACACTTGCCGCTTTTGTAACAATGCGACCGAGACCGCGGAACACATACTTTGCTCATGTGAAGTATTAGTCCGCCAAAGGCTGAACCACCTAGAACAGGTCTATCTCACCCCTGCTGAAGTGGAAAAGTCAACCGTCAGGAAAATCGTAGGCTTCATCAGAAGTCTAGGGTTAGAGGACCAAAACTAGATAGGGGTAATCACAATAGATCTTCTAGGTCGCAGTGATCGAGAGGTCTCCCAGCCTACACGACCCATCTACAATCTACAATCTCTACAATCTTGAGTCACCATGGACTTCTTCCATTCATTTTTTTTGTCTCTTAGAGAAGATCACTGCCCAACAGTACCCGCGAGTAGACATGTCTGACCCCGCCCTGAAACACCACTGCACGTTCGTCAAGGAATCGGCGCTGGACTGCGGCATCGTTCTGAAACCTGAAGAATTAGTAGAGGGCGTCGTGGTCAATGGAGCCGAGAGGATGATCCTGGAAGCGGTCAAGTGCTTCGCGGAGAGTTTGGTCAGGAGGGCGAACCACCATGCTGTGTGTGCGGCAAAGGAATCTAGGTGAGTTCTCACTTCAACCGTTGATGTTCGAAATGAAAACCTAAGAGCCGCTTTCCAATTGAAATTTTTTTACCCCCGAAATGATCCTACACTTGAACCTGAGTATTTTCACTCGAAATATCACGAGAGCTTCAATTATATCCGGAAATTTTCTAAAGATTCGTGTTCGAGAAAAAATTCCCGGATATTAATTAAAGCTTTAGGGTCACACCGAAGTGCACCTCAACTTTCTTATTTGAATAGGGAAACCCAGTATATTATTCCATATCCAAGTAAAGTTCATTATTACAAAGTCAAAAATGCTGGGTTTGATGGGATTTTTTCAAACGACTATGAAGATATGACAAAAAATAAAACGATACATAACTACAGACCCGTGATTTGGAGAAAATCTTATAACCACCAATTGTCTCGATGGTGATAGCAACAGGCCAGCTCGGTCGCCAGACCTCACCCCACTTGATTTTTATTTGTGGGGCTACTTGAAACAACAGGTTTGATGAGTCGCCAATTGTGAATATGGAAGGAATGAAAGAGAAAATCACAAAGGACCCCGCACCGCAATAGGGGGAAAAATGGCTTGCGGTGAATTATCTCGAATTTTGGATATATTATTGAACTCGTTATGTTGATCAGATGTCCAAATTATCAACGCTCTAAATTCAATAGTTTGTATTATACAGGGTGCTGAAGTTGGCTTTTTCAAAATTTCGAATGGCCATTGTGAAGTTTCCTTTTTGAATACCAAAATCAAATCGATTACGTTCTGTTCGTCCATGTGGCCGGTGAAAATCCACTATAGAGTTCAATGATATCTGCACGTACTCACGATACACAGAGTTGGTCCAAAAATAGCAAATGTTCCAATTATTTCCGAAAAAGTGAGCGGTTGAAATCAATTCATTTTTGAACATTTCGTTGTATACTAATATCAACATCGATTCATGATATTTGCATTTCTTGTATCAGATTATATATTATACACAAGATGTTCAAGTTTCCATGAAACCGCACCCATCCTGATATCCATATCCATCGAATGATTGGAATCCTGTAAAACTTGGTGAGGAAGTTGATGATTCGTGATGACAATATTTTATGCGATACCTGAATTATACAGGGTGGTTGAGAAAGTAGTAGTGGAGTTTTCTTGGAGTTGACGTACTCAGGATTTCTGTCTTGTTTCTCAATTGCTCTGGGGTACGTCAACTCCAAGAAAACTCCACTTCTACTTTCTCAACCACCCTGTATAATTCAGGTATCTGCATAAAATATTGTCATCATGAATTATCAACTTCCTCACCAAGTTTTACGGGATTCCAATCACTCGATGGATATGAATATCAGGACGGGTGCGGTTTCATGGAAACTTGAACATCTTGTGTACATTTTGTAGTCTGATTCAAAAAATGCAATCATCATGAATCGATGTTGATATTAGTATACTATGAAATGTCCAAAAATAAACCCTTCAACTTTTGAATCATTTGATGTTTTTTTCTGTCTTCAATGATGAACCCTGTAGAAGCTGTTCAAATATACGGAATGACCCTGTACATTAATTATTACAATGAATTGTATGTTATCATTTAGAGTGATATTTTATCTATACTATTATTTTTCAGTGAAAATAATTGTGATATTACCAAACAAGAAATCGAAATGGCTTTGAAAGATCGACCCGAATTCCAGACTATTAGAGACTTCCAACTGAAGAAACGTGAAATTGATTTCTTCTCCTAATCAATTGGATACAATTCAGTCATGAATGGCAGGGATATTAGTAGTTGTATCATCTGGATTTTTTTTCGTACCTGAGAATGAAAATAAATTCACTATAGTACCATGAAGGTAACTCATAGTATTTTTTTTCAATTTCAGCAGTGAAAAAATCAAATTACCTTAGTGTAATAAATGTAAGACTGCACTGTTTGCTTAGGCTGTCTATTGATGATTGTGCACTATAAAACTGAAAATAATTGCGATCCTCTGAAAATATAGGAGAAATGGCCAGCTTGAATGATAATAACTGGTTAAAAACTATGGTTAATTCAATAAAATAGTCTATAGAGCAGTTCAGCTAGCGCTGAGAGAGAAAGAAAATGTCTTCCCCATCTGTCCTTGCCTTCAGTGTTCCAACGTAAAATAATGTTAATGTTGGTAAAAAAAGTTAAAATGGACTTCTTCTCCATTTGTTCTCATTTCCAGTGTTGCCAACATAAAATGTTCATCATTTCATGTTGGAACATTGAAGACAAGGAGAGATGGGGAAGACATTTTTTTCTCTACCAACGTTAGCTGAACTACTCTATTACAATAATCTACTTCGTATTTTGAATTTATGCAAGCTGATTCATGAAAACCGTTGGTTAGCCATATATTTTTCTTCTGTGCTACCAACGTAGCCATATTGACATATAGAGAGGTCCGATCATTCTTACCTTGTCGTGGAACGGGCTCAACATTAACCGTTGATTTCGATTAAGTTGTGAAAATACTACTACTACCGTTTGAAATAACGAAGTTGTAGTCGACTTCTGATATATGCGGGAGTTTACAAATATTTTAGTTGAAGAGCTTTCCATGTTTTCGGCAATACCCACTTTGACAATCTTCCAATTCGATTAATCAACGGTTTTCATGAATCAGCCTGTAGAATATCACACTAGGGGTGATCTATATAAGAATGCGAAAAATTAATGAGTTGCTCCACCAATTCGTTCGGCGCCTGTAAAAAAATGTATTCGCGAGATTCACGAAGTGGGCGATATCTAGGTTACATAATACGAACTTCAAACTGGGGGAAAACAAATTGTTGTCTATGGATAAAGGGCATACATTGCATTCAGCTTGCTGTAGCAGTAGTCAAACTTGTCGATGACATAAAGTGTTGGCACTGTTGGTAGTGATGATGGTTGAGTTGGTTAATTTTTTTACATTATTACATTTTTATTAGTTTAGTGAACAGTGAACGGGTGAAGAATTGGAGATAGTTCGAACAATTCAAACTAATTATGACGAGCAAATCAATTGACATATAAAAGAACAGCTACAACATGTTTACAATACCCAGATTGTCCTGCTTTGCAGGAACAAATACAATTCCATTGTTCTACAGGAGTTCCTCTGGACCCCAACTTCAATTTTACTTCATGTGGGGAAGATTTCATCGCCGAAGTTTGTAGAGACAAAGTGCAAAAATGTGCCTTTTGTTGAAGTCTTCTGCCTCACACAAAATCACGTGATTAGCACGGAGAACTGCTTCTCCTTTCACTACTTGTCGGCTTTTTCCATCTAAATAGAGCAAAATATCTGCCAAAAGAACATCTACAACAGGCATTATTAGCGTTTTCGATCGAATATTGACAATTCATGTCAAGAAATTTAAAAACTTATCACTCTTATCATTACACAGTACACAAGCTGTGGCACTAATGGGATTGAGTTTGTTTTCCCCTAGTTTTGACGTGGCTTTGACATGGAACGATGAAAACCGAGCGCCACCTGGTAGCATTGATTCCCACGAATAACAAATTACGAAAACGTACTGCCATATCGACACTATTCGAGGGAATCATTGTCACTAGGTGGCGCTCGGTTTTCATCGTTCCATGTCAAAGCCACGTCAAAACTGGGGAAAAACAAACTCAATCCCATTAGTGCCATTAGCTTGTGTACTGTGTACTGAACTGTGGTACTGATAAGAGCAAGACAAGCAGTTCTCCGTGCTAATCATGTGATTTTGTTTGAGGCAGAAGACTTCACCAAAAGGCACATTTTTGCACTTTGTCTACAAACTTCGTTGATGAAATCTTCCCCACATGAAGGAAAATTGAAGTTGGGGTCCAGAGGAACTCCTGTAGAACAATGGATTTGTATTTGTTCATGCGCAAAGCAGGACAATCTAGGTATTGTAAACATGTTGTAGCTGCTCTTTTATATGTCAACTGATTTGCTCGTTATAATTAGTTTGAATTGTTCGAACTATATCTAATTCTTCACCAGTTCACTATTCACTAAACTAATAAAGATGTAATAATGTAAAAAAATTAACCAACTCAACCATCATCACTACCAACAGTGCCAACACTTTATGTCATTGACAAGTTTGACTACAGCTACAGCAAGCTGAATGCAATGTAGTCTATGCACTTCATCCATAGACAACAGTTTGTTTCCCCTCAGTTTGAAGTTCGTATTATGTAACCTAGATGTCGGCCACTTCGTGAATATTAAACTCGATTCTCGATAAATAGAACATAGTTAAGACAGTCAAACGCCTTCAACACACTATCATTGCAAACTAGACCTTGCTCATGACAGTTGCATGTGGCCATCTCGAACTGCAAGGGAATTCCCCGAATGTTCAGTGGCGTTCCATCAAGGTTTTAGTTTGAATAAATGTCATAAATTCACTTGGATTGCTCGGAAACTTTGCAGGCATTTTCTTAGATGGAAAAACTACACTTTTTTTCGCATCCTGACATAGACCACCTTGCAGAATTACAAATTCAATGATTGTGATATTGAGAACCATGGGTTATTTGTTTGGAAAGTTTATAATTGTGCACCATTGTCACTATACACACTGTATATAGAATGAAATTATATATATATATATGTAAATAATTATTTAATTTATTTGTATTTTGTTTCTATTAAATTTTTGAAAACACTACATTCTGTATATACTTAGGAGTCCTCATATAGGGTGAATAAAAATCGGGTTTTGCAGTTTTCAAAATATTTAAATAAGTAAAAATATTATTTACATCACTATCTTAATATAGGAATAACAATAATTAAACCTAAAAATAAATTTCACGTCAAAATAATAAAAATTTGTGAATGTCAAAGTATGGATTTTGTCATTCCAACAGATTACCACCAAGCAAAACACACAGGAAAATGTTTCTGAACTCAAGGATGTTGAGTCCAAAATTACTGACAAATAGAAAAATGATTATTTGATTCACACTTCCTTCACTACTTATGTTCATCTCTTTTTTTTTAAAGAATTTTTTCAGCTTATTTTTTTTTAGTTCTGATTAGATTTGATGGATTTCTAGAGTTCCTGACTGTGAATATTTCCAGGAAATCATAGATGTAAAAGGAAGAATTAATTTTGAGCCCTAACTATATTTTTTCATCTTTTAAAGAGTTCTTGAATTCTAAATCTATTTCATCAATAGTTCTGATGAACTGAGCAAATTATTGAATAATTCAAGGAAATAAAATAGGAAAATGTGTTTCTATAGGCAGCATTTCTTGGTGGAATACTATGATTTTTTCAGTTTTTATATTTTCTAATGATTTTCCGCCTTTTTGTGGAAAGCTTCTTCTTCAATATGGAAGAGATAGTATTTTACCAAGTCATGTCCACCTATAGAAACACAATATTGTATTTTATTTTCTGGAATTATTTAATAATTTGCTTAGTTCACCAGAACTATTGATGAAATAGGTTTAGAACTCCAGAACTATTTATAATACAACAAAAAAATATATCAGAACTCATTTTCTGGAAAAAAACAGTGCTGTGTGAAGTTAGTGCTCAAATTATAATTTTCCACCTACCAGTGGCGGCTCCTCAGAGGAGGCAACGGAGGCTGAGCCTTCTCAGAGATTCTCCTTAAACTGATATTATCTATACTTTCTCATTAAAAGGACACCAAAATACATGGATTTTGATTTTATTTCCTGTTTTTAGGTAAATATTTTTGAATTGGCAACAGTGCTTGCCCACGCATCACACGTTGAAGTCTGCAAATCACGCGTAAAATATTCAACTTGGCAACATCTATAGGAGGCTAGACTCCTTCACAAAGCGCAACCCACGCGCGCAATGCAAATGCCCGAATACGCCCGAATAGCACGTGTTTGTCGCGTCGCGAATTGCGGACAATCCAGCGTGAGTGCATTGTTTATGTTTATGTTAGGTTAATGGTTAGGGGCTCTATAAATTTCTGAAAAATGAGTGTTTTAAACGATTGCAATTTAGTGGAATACTTTTTGGTGAACCCATTCATTGCTTTGTCTCATGAAGATAAATTGATTGTGAAAAACAAACTTCTGACACCCGAATTAAAGAATCTGATTGTAACAGGTAACAAACAAAATTGTTCCTTCAATTCTGATAATTATAAAAAATATATCTGGTTGATGGGATCTGACGTGAGGAATGAGCTATTTTGTTGGTACTGCATATTATTTTCAACCGATAAGTCATCATGTTGGGGGCAATTAGGATATAATGATTTGAAAAACTTGCCTTGTGGATTGGATAGACACTGGAAATCACATAACACATCTCTTAAAGTATCAAGTTCAGATTAACTGGTAAACAGAATGTCATTAAAGGTATTGATTTGGGTGAGTAGAGTTGTTTTTCACAATAAATCTCATATCATTCAGCCTCCTCTGTCATGAAAGTCACGAGCTGCCACTGCCACCTACATCTATGATTTGTTGGAACTATTCAAAATATCAGTTAGGAACTCTAGAACGCCATCCAATTTTCATGGAACTCCAAAAGAAATTGAGTTTAAAAATAATAGAACGGCGCCAACTTCATATGAGTACCCCTATTTCAAAATTAATATAAGTACAATTCTAATAAAAAGTTTATAGGACTCTTTTTGAGAAGTTAGCAGGTAGAAATGGCTGATAAAATTTGAACACATTGGTGTCAATTTTGAATCATATTCCTGAAGAAAAAAACCTAAAATTGTAGGAAACCATTTGATCACAGGAGGACATGATATACCAAACTCAATTCATATACCACCTACTAAAAATTACAAAAGAGTGTTATTTGTAAATTGGAGGACCAAAAAATAACTAATTACTAGTTATGTCCCTATTTTCTGGAAAATAATTATCCAAAATGAAGACAATGAAAAATATACTGACCTTGGAAAACCGTTTGAGCAGATGAAAATTTATCTCAGTCTGTTCCCAATTTAAAACTGGACTCATATGTCAATAAAAAAACAACAATAATTGCAGAAGTGTGAATTCAAAACCTCATAGGAGTTTTGAAATGATTTTTTGACATATCAACCTTGTTGAAAGTAGAGAAAAGATGCTGTTGGTCCTATTCTTGACTAGAATATGAAGCAATTCAATGAACAATTCACAACTAAAATCAACCATTGAACACTATTCAATGAATTCTGATTCCATCATGCTCAGAAATAATTAAAAAAATGGCATGTATATATTTCAGATACCAAAAACCTGCTGGTCAAATAATCATCCAATTTAGATGACCCAAGAAAAAGTCCATAAAGATATGGATGACTTAATAGTAAAAAATTACAACTGATGAGTTTACAATCAACTGTTTACCCAGGATATTGAATCAAAGCACTACAATTTTTCATGGAATTCCTTACATCCCAATTTAAAAATAAATGCACTGCTTTGTTCAAACCTGGACTTAGATGGCTGAATTTCATGTCATAGTGCAGAACAGCTGAAAAATGCCATCACCTTGATTCATTTGCATCCACTAAAATGGTGATCTGTAAGGGAACAACAAAATACTACTTCCAACCTCTAACAGCATCCAAGGATCATCACACTACCTGATTGATCTCATTATTCACAGCAAACACCTTCTTGAGCTTGGTCTTTTCTGCTTTCCTTTCTGCAGAAGTCTTTTTGAGCCCCTTCATCTTCCTAGTCTGTAATTTCATGACATCCTGCTTGCCAAGATGTATGCGACCATGAGTTGTGCCAAGTTTGTCTGTGCTGATGTTCTTCTTCTTGGTGACTTTGAGTTCTTTTGGTTTCTTGCAGGCTTCCTTCATCAAGTCTTCATCTGCCAGTTTGGTACGTCTGAGTGAGAAATCTACCCTGGGACCTTAAATATAAACAAATTATGCTATACTCAATACTTTTTCAATGAATAAAACAAAATTTCATACCTATTTCTTCCAGTTCCACTCTAGGGGTTCTCATACCAGACTTCTTGAGTAATACCTTATAGGACCTAACCAGAATTTTACCATCTGGGGTAGCATTGAAGCTGATAGTGTGTTCTATACCTTGAAGCCTAACATTTTCTACATATTCTCTATGAAAAAAATCTATAAACATGGATTTCAACTGCTGCAAGTCAGGTGATTGCTCCCAAAGAGCCCCATTGAACAAAAGGCATGGTTTGATACCCAGTGTGATCTTAGAAGTAGCAAACTCCTTGAGACCTTGGTAAGATTCTACATATAGTTCCACCATATCAAGTAGTGTATCATTGAACATTCTACCTACTACTAGGTTGTCAGGGCGCTTTTTACTGTGGGAGCCCATCATGAACAAAGCTGCATCATGTTTTCTACAGAAATCCTCCACAGGTTTGACATTCTCAAAAATGGTTATATCATTTTTTCTGGACAAATTAACACCATCAGGTTTCTTAAAATCATAGAAATCCTTGAGTAGACTTCTTAATTTATCCGAACTCTTTCTTCCTTTGAAAAATATAGCCCGCTTGGGTCCTTCAATCACTTGCGGTTCTTTCTTCAATAGCACCCTTTTGCCCCTCCGAGTTTTCGGTTTGCTAAAAATCGGAAAATTATAAGTTATGAAGTTGCAGGTGGTGTATTATTTTATAACATACGCCACACGCTGGAGAACAGACATTTCTTTAATAAGCTCCTATATATTATTTATAAATAATTGTAACACGTGTAGACAAGAAAATAACCTCACGCTGCCACCGCCACTATTTACTTTTGACTTTGACAATTTTGACATTGACAAGTGAGAATGGACATTTGACATCACAACCACAACACCAAATATAACCACTACACCAAATATGCGCACAACCACTGATAACCATATCTGATAACCAGATTTCCTTAGATCATTAAATCAAACATCTCGTTTTGTGCTGTAATCCTGTGATTCTGGTCACCGCATCGACCGCACCGTGGTTCTGTGTCTGTGATTTTTAAATTATGTTTTATGCTTTTACCACACTGTTGTTTATATTTCTATTATTTTTCTTTTGAAAAATGGAAAATTGTGAAAAGTTCATTCGTTGCTGATCCATAGGGTATAGAGTATTTAATAATTTCGGAGTATAGGTAGCTACGATCACAAATATATGAAAAAAATATATAATTCTACAGAAAATGTTCACAATACCTAAAAGGCCCCATTTCCTTCACCCCAAAAATGTCAGATCTGTAATGAATCGCGCTACTTTAGAACAAATAATCAGGGTAGACCATGCTGGTGAATTAGGGGCTGATCGTATATATGCAGGACAAATGGCAATACTGGGACACACTTCCAAAGGCCCCTTGGTGAGGCACATGTGGGAACAAGAAAAACACCACAGGGCAACCTTTGAAAACCTCATTCAGAAGCATAGAGTTCGTCCAACGGTCATGACCCCCATTTGGAATGTAGCTGGATTCCTATTAGGTAATTTTACTATTACCTATAGTATAAGTAATCAAAACCATGATGGCATTCTTGGCAGGTGCTGGGACAGCTCTACTTGGAGACAAAGCTGCTATGGCTTGCACAGTTGCAGTTGAAACAGTGATAGTTGAGCACTACAATGACCAATTGAGGATGCTCTTGGAGGATCCGGAATGCAACAAAGAGCTATTGGAAACAATTACTAAATTCAGGGATGAAGAACAGGAACACCATGATACTGGTATTGACCATGGGGCTGAACAGACTCCATTTTATGAAACAATCTCAAATGTCATCAAGATAGGATGCAAGGCTGCTATTCAAATTTCCAAGGTCATTTAAGAGATTTTTCTTGAGGTGGAATATCATAAAACTGGTATGTAATTCTAATAATGATGTAAAATGAGCATGTTTTCCATCAGGATATATTATTTTGTTGATATCTAAGTAATGAGTTAAAGTAACATCATTCAACTGATGTGGATAATTAAGTTTGAATGTACAATGTATTATTTAAAATATCTCAAGAACTAGATGCCATTTGTACTGGTTTCCCATTTGAAATTATGTTCTACAACCTGAAATGTAGGTACAAAGAAATTACCAAGAGCTGAAATTAGTTTGTGCTGAATTGAGATGTATCTTCCTGATGAGAAGACAATATTTTTGTTGAATTATTTATGTTTGTCAATAAAAGTAAGTTTATCCTCCATTTCTAAAACTTTTAATGACTTGGAAACTGACATATTGACTAAAATTGATACCCTTATTTTGCATGTAGGTATAGAGGATTAGTGGTACTAGTTTTGAGTATTTTCAATAATTTCAACTAAGACCTCAACTTATCACTTTTTCCTCTCATAATAGGTAAATTCAAAATTATGTAGAAGCAGCAGAAGTGGCATAGATTATGTTTTTAGGAGGAACATGCCAAATTGTTTTGTGGACAAAACAAAGACAAAATGAGAATTGTGAAATAAAATTTTGTACACATTCATATGCCCTATGTTGTTCAATACATAATAGACAAGAACATAAAAGGAATTGAATTATATTCCAGATGATTATGATGCAAATACCTTGTTTCATTGAATCAATAATCGGCATTTATTTCTGAAACAATTTTATCATTCATTATATTCAATCTTTCCATCTTCATATTGGTCCACTCTGTACAGGAAAATCGAGATTTTTTTACAGAGGAATATACCTCCTTGATCTGGAAATATACTAGCAAACAAAGGCACAAAGTCCACTTGATATTTATTGTTGAGCATTCTTATCATTACTATTTATTTTCCTTTTGGAGGCTGTAATAATGTGGAGATAATATGACATGATTCTCTGTGATATTTCTGTGCATTTCAGTTATCTCTGGGCTCCTTGTTTTCATTTTTTTGATTTGTAAGAAATAGGAACCTTCAAAACCTACATAGATTAAATACAAAAAATAATTTATTTTATATGACTTTACATAGATTAAATACAAAAAATAATTTATATTATATGACTTGTGATATAAATAATCTTGTGCTCAGTCTAGACATACATAGTTTCCTTATCACACAGAAGTGTGCCAAGACCAAAATTCGAAATTTTATCATTTGAGTGAAAAATATTGGTGATAATATGGTGAATTCTGACGATGAAAGAGCAGGAGAAGCATATCTGTTGGTACCAAAATGTTCTAAAGGTAAGAAAGTGTTTTAAAATGTATACAAAAAACGAGACAAAAAATTATCAAATTGAATCTCCAACAGGTAAGGGGTGTTCATATGATTTTTTGTAAGGAATCTGCCTTTGATTTTTTCACTATCAATGCCCATATTATGACCAGGGCCGATCCTAGGGTGTGGGCCGCCCGTGTGCATAAACCTAATGTGCCGCCCCTCTAGAGAATTTTTCATATTTTTTAACTATAATACCTGATGACTTCATAACTTCAACTACTTGTACAAGGATAAGAAGTAAAACACAGAAAAAAAATGTAGACAAAATCTTCATGCGCCGCAGGCGAATTTTTTCTGAGTTCAAGGTCAAATGCTTTCAGGTAATAACTCCATTTCAGTGCATACCGGGAGCGGCCAAGAAACTTTTCCTATGGCACATTACTATATTACAGTTTATTGTAATTGATATAAAATGATCTGGAATCTGAAAATAAGAACAATAAGAAGAGCAAGTGAAAAGTATTTCAAATGGTGTCTGTACTTTAACCAAGTGGATGTTCTCCAGATTTTTTGGGATCTTCTCTCATAGTCTCTTAGTACGTAGTAGAAATGCATAAATAAGCTACCCCACAGTGATGGAACAAAACATCCTTAGGCGTCTGAAAAATATGCCCCTTGGTCATTGTTTCAAATAGAAATTTAAAATTTGGGAAGATAAGAATGTGTATAAAAAGTAGACATTAATTGACAATGGACCAACACACTATTTACTATCATTTTATTTATTCAAAATGCAGCATATTCATTCGACTTATGAGTTTCAAATAATTTTGTTTGATAGGACAATATGCGGCCTGCGGCCGCCCCTTGTTTTGGCCGCCCGCGTGCGGGGCACGCGCTGCACACCCGCTAGGATCGGCCCTGATTATGACATAATTCTGCTAGAAATTCAGTTTATTTTTATAATATCCATGAATGAATTTGACTACATAATGAACAACTATGATAATTTCTAGTCTAGTTAATAATAGAAAACAATATACAGTGTGACCATTTAGAAGCGGCGGCACAATCTATTTTTTTTTCACCCTCCGATTATATTTTCTTATTGCATAGGAAACGTCTTCTGTAAAACCTGACTTTTTTCAACAAAAACTAAAATCTACTGTGTAAAATTTGAGGATTATATTGAATAAAAGGCACAACCTTGTTTCTCACAATAAGTACAATATTCATCCACTTGAAATGAATGTTTATGTTTCTAAGTAAACTGTTAGCATTCAGATGAATTATTGATAGAAATGATTTCAGAATTCATATAAAATGAAAAGTGTATGTGCTCTTCCTGAAAATGTACGTCATGCATTTTTTCAAGAAATGATTGATTTTTTTTATACTTCCAAGCAGTACCAATCTAGTACCTACCTCCTATTGTTCATTTATCGTTTCACAAGCATGAAATTTATATCAATTGCATCAACTCATGGGCATCAATTAGATAAATAAATTTATCTACAAGAGATTCGAGATAGCGAAAATTTTTAATTTTCATTTGCGTCAAAAAGTCAATATGTTTTTCCACAAAAGACATGTATTTTGGAACTTAGAGGGGTGATTTTATCACACTTATACATTTTGATTATAATTCACTGTTTTCTTTGTGTAATTGTTTCGATCTTGCTCTTGCTACACAGTTCCCTCAAATTATCCAGTAAAAATATTAATGATAGTTATACTTATAAATCTATTTTTCGTTATCAGGTCATTCCATATAAAATGTAATGAATATAGGTAAACTGCTGAACACATGAAGGGATCCATCGATGAAAATATGAATACCTACACATAATGACTTGACATGTATTATTGTTGTCAAGTAACCTTCATAATTTCTAAACACAGGAAAATGCATCAGGTTATTATTGTGTCTCACCTCATATATTCCACCGAGTATTCTACACAACAACATTCCAGTGATGAGTAAGAAGTTATTGTTGATACAATAAAATACGAATTTTGGTGTATCATCTCGTTTTTTGTAGAATCTAGAGGAGAATTCCTGTCATTCAATTAAATATTATATAAACATTTATGAACCATTCTTGATATGTATCTCATTTTGTACATGAGTTACATCAATTCTAAGCTTTCAAATTGTCATCACCCTATATAGTATATATGGCAAACCGGACATTGTATCAGAGGAAATAATTGGCCGATTCAAGTCGTTTGTTTTCAAGTTTTCAGTGATTGAATAAAAATCGAAATTTTGATATTTTCAATATTTGTCTATTCCCATGAATATTACCTTGTCAGGATGGAATGCAATACCCTGTATGTGATATTATTATCTATTCGACTAGAGGGATTTATGAGGTAGAAATTAGACGTGGAGCGTTTATTGCTACTGAAGATTTATCAGGACAGGAGCCATATACGTATTAATAAACAATACGGATCATAACGGGTGCCAGGATGAAGCCAAAAATATGAAACAAATGAATATCCATAAGGATTTGGTGGCATGATACGCATGCGCCATGCGCTATTATAGTAGTCATCAAAGACATGCGTTTCGGTGGACAATGACGTTTACTAGCCTTTCAATCAAAGCACTAAAGCAGTATGTGTCTGATCGTTTCAAAACTTTTCCTTATGGATAGTCATTTGTCTTCAAAAATCGGCTTCATGTTTCGGTATGGAAACAGATAGAGATTATCCGTATTGATTATTAATACGTATATGCTTAGAGCACATAATTCAAATCGATGCGAAATATTCTAAACACCCAAAATCAAATGATTGACACCCTGTAGCTCGAAAACTGGTCATAGGATCGATCTGTAAATTGGACTGTGTAATAAGGACGCTCATATCTGAAGCATATCAAATTTTCAGAAAAATTAGCTCGAAGCCATTTTCCGTACTAAATGTGCGGGGTCCTTTTTTCTGTTGGCGGAGTTACCAGTTGTTGTTGAAAAATCAATCAGCTATCTCCGTAGTCGTTTGCGGAAACCCCATCAAAATCTGGTACTGTTGGATTTGTAATCTTGATCTCTAACCGATTATGGAATGAAATACAGGGTGTCCCATTTGAAAATCGAGAGTTGATACCCGTTCCGCTTCAAGGTTTCAATTTTGGGATATGATATAGTTACAGAAAAATATGTTCCCCGCCAAATTAAAATCGACCTCTGTCCGAGCGACGAAGACAAGTTTTAGCTGGGACACACTGTACATATGCGGAGCAGTTTAGCTATATTGGTTCTTTTTTCTGACACTGTTACCAAAACATATAAACATAAAACATTTCTGTGGTTATAATAATGGCAACTATTATTTACAATTGCATCATTCAGGAAATAATTTTTTGTCCCCTAGCTCTGTGCTCTCTCTGGTAGAGCTCTGACCCCAAGTATTTGATGTGCGTTCGTACTGTTTGTAGGTTATCGCCTCGCTTTTTTTTTGTTCATGATCTATTTATCCGAGCCAACTACACTCATGGAAACTTGAAACGACTCACACTAAATGGGCGTGTACACCTCAGTAGAACTTTTAACTCAAACCATGTTTATAATGATCCTTTTATACATAAATAATGATTGACGACATAATTCGATCGAAAAATTAACTGGAATGTTTCATTTTTAGACATAAATATTAGCACCTTCGGAAAACGGACCCTCTTATGACGTAGAAAACTCATCTCGCCATAGTTAAAAGAAAATACCAAACGCCCGACGGAGTTGCGATTTAGTAAAATTTAAAATGATCCACCTCGAATATCTCGAAAACGGCTGAACCAAATATCAATGACCAATATATTTCTGGAATCAGGAGGAAAAAATCTTTAATTTAAAAAAACATATATATAGAGTGTTCCATTGAAAATATATTCATTTGTTTCATCTAGTATAATTTTCTGGAGGTTCAAAACAAACCCTACAACTTTTGCATTCGAAGTTTTTCTCTATCTTCAATGATGAACCCTGTAGAAGTTGTTTAAATATACGGAATGACCCTGTACTTCAAGAAACGAGTTTACAGCCAGCTCAAGAATCTCGAGTACCTATCTCTTCGTGCGCACATCAGCAGTAGGTATTTCACATTTCATCTGGGAAATTCAGAGAAATAAGCGAAACAAGAATATCGTCGAAGAGGAAGTATAAACGGCTAAGTTGGCGTGTATTTGTTGGCAATTCTATTATACAGGGTGTTCCAAAACTCAGTATCAAGAATTCAGGGACTCATTTTCCAGATCAAAATAGGACTTTTTTTACTATAAGTACCTATATGTCCGCAAACGCTTCGTTACCGATATACAGCGGTGAAGTTCAAATACTTTCTTATTTACCAACACCTTTCATAAAAAGTCGAGGTTTGCTTCTTATTCTTCAGATTTCCTCTAGAAACTTGTGATCAAGATCACAAACCGAAGATGTAGCGTTTTTTGTTTCAATAGTTATAATAAGTTCGTTCCTCCCCTTTTTCGAAAATATTTAATAAAATCTACGGTCGCAGATGCGTTAAAACTACAAGAGACAAAAAATGTCACAAACAATATCTTATTTCGTTTTAATATCTACCAGTGGCGCGCCACAAGAAAGTTGATGAAACGAAAAAGGTATGGACCCCTGAAAAAATATCGTTGTAGATTCTTACTTGATATATACTGTATAGGTCGTGTGCACGATGACCGACCATGGAGGTAACACATTGAAACATAACCTCACTGTTCTTATTTGTTTACAAAGGAATCAAATGATTGAAATAGTTTTTCACAATATTTTGGCATACGAATCGTGTTTTTTCGGCTATTTATCAATTGAAGCATGCCATCACATTGTGCTGTTGCACAATGCACAATAAATGCAGCGAGAGACGAAGGAATATGATTTTTCAGGTAAATAGTGATCTCACATAGTTTTCATTATAAAATTTTATCATTTCTCATTTGAGGCCTGTTCATTTGTGTTTCATATGACTTTCTCTGTTCACATCATCTTATGATATCAGATACAAC